AAGAAATGAAATTCTCATCTTCCATAGTTAGAAGTCAATAGTAAGACTGTAAAAAGGAAAAAGTAAGCAGCAATATAAGCATATTATAAAAAAAAGGCAAAGAAAAGAGAAGGCAATGGGAATGAGGTGAAAAATTACAGGGCTACTGGTTTTGTAATAAAATTTATAGAACTGCTGGACCTTCTAAATAGTGTACTTGTACACTGCTGATAAAACAAACTAAGTTTTAAAAAGGGAGAACACTTACCAATATACTTTTCTTGCTTTCTGAATAGAGGTGACTGTTTGAACTTCTTTTAATGTTTGCTTTGTTTTCTTTTCTGCTGATTTGAATGCCTATTTACAGGAAAAAATAATAAACTTTTAAAATAATTTGTTCAGAATGTATTTAAATACACCCAGGTAAACAATGGGACAAGAAATAGTTTTGTGTTTTATGATACTGGGGACTGAACCCAAGCACAAGCACAAGGGTATTCTACCACTGAGCTATATCCCCAGCCCTTTTATGTTTTGTTTTTATTTTTTTTAAATATTATTTTATTTATTTATTTTTATTTTTTTAAAGTATTATTTTAATTGTCAACAAGCCTTTATTTTATTTATTTATATGTAGTGCTGAGAATTGAACCCAGTGCCTCACACATGCTAGGCAAGTACTTTGCCACTGAGCCATAGCCCAGCCCTTGTTTTGTTTTTTTGAGACAGGGTCTCCCTAAGTTGCCCAGGCTAGCCTTGAACTTAGAATCCTCCTGCCTCAGCATCCTGAGTTTCTGTGGTTACAGACATGCCTCCATACCAGCTAAGAAATAGTTTTTTTTTTGTTTTGTTTTTCATAAACACATCCATTTTTATTAAGTATGCAAAAAAATGCACATAAGATTATAGTAACTCAAACATTTTACTTACCAATGATTGGAAAATTTTTACAGTAGTTTTTAAAACTAGCATTTTCTACCCACTAACATATACATATTTGAAAGTAATGAAGAACAAAAGATTTTGCCTTAAATATTAAAATAAATTAAAAGTCAAAACTTGAACATATGCAAATATTAGCTCAAGGCATACAAATAAAGAACTACCTTGTTCACTTATCAGATTCCAAGTGCTATCATGTTGCTGGTTTTAAGTGGATACAATAGTGAACAAGATGCGAACAAAGCCCCCTCCCACACCCCACTGGAGTCTATGAAAAGAGGCACTATTAAACAAGTACTCATTCAAATAAACATATGGTAAGTGCTTCTAAGAATGTTATCAAAGCATAACAAGGGAACCCAATTTATACTAGATTTTGATTAAAGAAGGTATCTCTGAGGAAATGGCATTGAAGCTGAAATCTAAAGGATCTATGAAGTTATCAGACTGAGAATAGGAAGAAGAGACCTATCAACAGAAAGAAAAGACCAGCTAGTAGTGATCATAGGATAAAATATCATGAAATGAAATCAGAGAGCAGTAGATAGAGGCAGACTTCATGAAGGTCACTCATTTAACATACATTAAAGTTACTGTTCTATTCCAGGCACTATTCCAGGGATTAGGATGTAGCAATCAATAAAACAGACAAAGATCCTACATTTTGCTGGGYATGGTGGCACAGGCTTGCAAATCCAGCTACTGTGGAGGCTTAGGCAGGACGACTGTTAAGTTCAAGGACAACCTGGGCAACTTAGTGAGACCCTTTTTTTTTTTTTTTTTTAAAGGGGGTAGGGGGTATATATAACCCAATGTAGAGTACTCCTGGATTCAATACCAGTACTGAGAGGAAAAATCCTACTTTTACGCAATCTACATTTCAGAGGAAAAACATAAGTATTCCAACAGATATGTCTTTTTGTGTGTGTGTGTGTGTGTGTGTGTGTGTGTGTGTGTGTGTGTGTGGTGCTGGGGATTGAACCCAAGGCCTTGTGCATGCAAGGCAAGTACTCTACCAACTGAGCTATCTCCCCAGCCCTATTGGGAAGATTTTTTTAAAGAAGAAATCAACAAAGTAGAGATTCAGGGTGGTACTAATTTTATTAAGTGGTCAACAAAGTCTTCTCTGGTAAAGTCTCAATTTAAGGAGATAAGTGAATGAATAGAATGATCAAACCATGAAAATTTCAGGAAAGAGCATTCCAGGTAGAGAAAAGGAAATGCAAAGGCCCTGAGAGGACAATTTACCATGGCTTTAGGAATAGCTAAAATCACAATGTAGCCAGAAAGAATGTTTAAGAGGAAGAATTCAAGTGAAGAGGTCAGAGGAAAGCAGATCACACAGGCCCTTAAGGCCAAGAGAAGGGTTTTGAGTTATATAAAAATGGAAAGGAATTAAAAAATTTTAAATAGAGGAGAGAATGGACTTCACTTGTGGTTTAAAAGCATYACCAGGATTGCTATTGGAGAACAGGCTGTATTGGGAAAAAGGTAGGACACAAATCCAATTAAGAGACTGCTATTATAGTCCATATGAACACAGAAAATGAAAGCCTGACCCATGAAAAAAGGGATGTGTGAGGTTCTGGTTAATACTTTAAAGTAAAAACCAAAAAGATCCACTGATAGGTTGGATATAATTTATGAGCAAAAAGTTCAGAACCTCTCCAACATCTGAGCAGAGAAAAATGGAGAGGAAAAGGTTTGAAAAAGAAAATAAATACTGGAAATACATTTAAAGCACCATTAAATTCAAAAGACCTTTCTGAATTAAAAAATCTCATTTAGGCAGGTGTGGTGGCACACACCTATAATCCCAATGGCTTAGGAGGCTGAGGCAGGAGGATTGTAAGTTCAAACCCAGGCTCAGCAACTTAGCAAGGTCYTAGGCAACTCAGTGAGACACCCTGTCTCTATAAATAAAAATATAAAAAAGATATGCCCCTATTTCCCTTTTCATTATTCAAATAGAATTCAAGACATTTCCCCCCCCCCCACCTATGGCATAAAAGTAAAGTTTGGTAGAATAAATTCTTAAAGAGCAGAAATTACTAAACACCTTTTTATTTTATTAATACATTACATTTTCTCAACATTATTGCCAATATTTTACAGGTATATGGCTCAGTGTTTAAGTACTTGGGTTCCACCCCCAGTCTCAAAAAAATTTCTTTAAATTTCATTTAAACAGAAAAAATAGTTAAGGCTATTAAAGCAGGCGAAAACAGTTAACATTCACTCTAACATTAAATACCTTCTCAGCAGCTTCAACAGTCTTTTGTGTTTTCTTGGCAGCATTTCTCTTGTGATCATAATACCTAGAAAAATATATCTCTTAACTTTAAGTAATATCTTTATTCTTTAGTTTTCTACTTATTTCTAATTTTACAGATTATTTAATCACAGAACAAAGCTGAATAATGCACCAAATTAAATTTTTAAAAAGGCATTTCCAGAGGGGGATAGGGTTTCCATAATGTGAGGGGGAACCAAGAAAATTTCAATACAGTGTATTTTCCAGCTTTCCATCTGTACACTAAAATAAAGTATTAATACTGGGGCAAAGGGAGTATTTTCACCAAAACAATTGCTCTTAACATTCTTAATACTCTTAACTGACTTATTGCAGATAATATATTACCTAAAATTTGTGTTCAAATGACTTACTTCTTGGCATTGGCATATGCTGATAAGCTGAGATCAACATCAACGAGCAATGGCTTATTTTTCTGAGGCTTCTGCAGCTGTTTGTTCTTTTGCTTTTTCTTTTTTCCTTTTGGTGGTTCAGTTTCATTTTTCTCAACACTGACATCACCATCAACATCGTCATCTTCCTCCTCTGATAATAAGTATGGATTTCTATTAAAAATATTCAATAGTATTTCACTAATGTCAATGACATCACTTTTTTATTTTCATTTTTTTCCTCAATGAACTTATAAATGGCTTGTTTCATTATTAATTCTAGTGTAAATTAATTTTTTCTAAGAATAAATTTCGAAAGAAAAAAATTAAAATACAGTGAACAATTAAATAACAAAATAAAGATAAGCACTGACTACTTAACTAAGAACCAAACTTACCTTAGCAGCATTGTAACATGATTTGTTTGTAGTTTTAATTCTTTGATTGCACTTGCAACAGGGTCTCCTTGAGCTTGGGCTTCTTTCACGATTACCCCGATTTCTGTCCAATCTATCTGGTTGGCTAAAGCACTTCGAACTACCTGAATGGCTCTGTCAACTATCTGTAGGTTCATTTCTATGAGTTCTCCTTTCAGTTTGTCTATTTCCTTAAAAAATAAACCAAATACATATACTATAATGCCAGTTGAGGTTATCATTTAAAAAAAAAAAAAAAACAAACATGAAAAAGCTAAACACAATACCTGAGCCTGTTGAAGAGCTTCTAATCTGTTTTCGTGATCCTTTCGGACATTATCTAATCTCTTCAGTGCTTGTTTTTCCTTTTGGTAACAAAACACACTTAAAAATTAGATTTCTCCTACTTTATGGCACTTTCTCTTAACTCCTAAAATTCACTATTCTGGTCCCACCTCTGCCGCCTTAATGTCATTTAGCTAGCTCAAGTTCCCCCTAGTCCATTTTTCCACCAGAAAATGTTCCATGCTCCAAAATTACTTCTCTCCCTCTCCTCATATACCTCCTGTGCCCTAAACAGGAAGGTGTTCTGATTAAAGGTTACATTAAATTGTAAGATATGCCCTTTGTCATTATTCAAACAGAATTCAAAACATTCTTTTCCTATGACATAAAAGTAAAGTTTGGTAGAATAAATTCTTAAAGAGCAGAAATTACCAAACACCTTTTTATTTTATTGATACATTACATTTTCTCAATATTATTGCCAATATTTTACAGAGCACTTTCCTCCTAAATTARAAATACAAAGTTTTATGGTGGTTATCTGACCTTTTATATAGCATTTTATCATATCAAATTCACATTTCAAGGGGCTGGGGTTTTGACTCGGTGGTAGAGTGCTCGCCTAGCATGTGCGAGGCTCTGGGTTCGATCCTCAGCACCACATATAAATAAATGAAATAAAAGTAGTGTGTCCAACTACAACTAAAAAAAAAGAAACATTAAAAAAAAAAGAATTTACATTTCAAAGTTGATTTGGGGACAAATTTTCTAATAATATTAACAACACCAAAAATTAGTGAATATTAAAATGTGAGATGAAATACCAAAAAAGATTTACAAGAATACTATTAAAAGAACCCATGAAGATTACCAAAATAAATTAATGTTTGGGACCAGAAGTAGTTCAGATTTTAAGTTTCCTGGATTTTTTAATATTTGCATGGACTTTACCAGCTGTATAGCCCTAACACGAAAATCTGAAATCTAAATCTTCCTGAGCACCAATGACACTCAAAAAGTTTCAGATTTTTGGGCTGGGGTTGTGTTAAGTGGCAGAGCACTTGCCTTGTACAGGTGAGGCACTGGGTCTGATCCTCAGCACCACATAAAAATCAATAAGCGAATAAAATATTTTTTWAAAAAGTTTCAGATTTTAGAGCATTTCAGGTTTTCAGATTAGGGATGCTCAATCTGCAGTTTTTATTTTTAAATTTTTTTTAATATTTATTTTTTAGCTTTAGGTAGACACAATATCTTTATTTTACATTTATGTGGTGCTGAGGATCGAACCCAGTGCCTCATACCAGAGAGCACTCTACCACTGAGCCACAGTCCCAGCMCCTTATTTTTAATTTTCAATCTGAAGCCAGGCACAGTGGTACCTGTCTGTAATCCAGCAACTCAGAGGCTGAGGCAGGAAGATCACAAGTTGAAGGTCAGCCTCAGCAACTTAGCAAGCCCTTAAGCAACTCAATAAAAAGGGCTGTGGATGTAGCTCAGTGGTGAAGCACTCTTGGGTTCAGTTCCCAGAACAACAACAAAAAAATTTTTTATTCTTTCAATCTGTATTTTTGATGCACATAAAAACATGGGTATCAATGTTACTGCTAAGCATTTGTTCGTTAGCCAAAGTACTATGTAGCAATCATGTAATCCATTTAATTACCTGCTTTGATATTGTACTTACTATTAACTATTTTTTTAAAACTAAACAGGAGGGGGTACATAACCTGAAATTTTTGCACATATATTTTAAGACTTGAATTTTTAAAAAATGAAGTCTCTTTAAAAAAATCAAGTCTTTTCTAAATCAAGAATGACTATTATCAATTCTTGAAACGTTCTGCCAGCACATACTCTAAAAATATGGTCAAATGGGGTTAGGGTTACAGCTCAGCAGTAGAATGCTTGCCTGGCACATGTGAGGCACTGGATTCAATATTCAGCACCACATAAAAATAAATAAGTAATATAAAGGTATTATGTCCATCTACAACTAAAGACCAAAACCAAACAAACAAACAAAAAACCATGGTCAAATGTGTTGGAAAAATATTGCATATTAAATCCTCCTCATGGAGTCACAATACACCGAAAATTGAAGGTCTAGCTTTAGCTGGGCTTGGTGGCACACACCTGTAATTCCAGCTATTTCAGAAGCTAAGGCAAAAGGATTCTAACTTTGTGGGCAGCCTTGGCAACTTATGGAGACTCTGTCTCAAAATTTAAAAGAAATAAAAAATAAAAAGGGATGTGGATATAGCTTAGTGATAGAGCACACCTTGGTTCGAAAGGAAAAAATTCTGAAGAAAACACAAGACCTAGTTTCATTAAAGTCCTAAAAAAAAAAAAAAAGAGTTTATGACAAATAGGGAACAGTTGTAGCTTAGTGGTAGACTGCTCAGCACGCAGGAAGCCCTGGGTACAATCCCTAGCACCAAAACACCAAATCAAACTAAACCAAAAAAAAAAAAATGATAAATAAGTCATTAATTTAATAATACCATACCTGTTGTAAAGCTTTTAAATCAATTTTTTGACCTTCTATCTTCGAATAAAATTCATCCACGGCCTTATTAAAGAAACAAATACACACTAGCTATAAAAACAGTATGGTCTCTACTTTAAATGTACACAGAATTTCTCAAAGAACTTGACAACATTTCTACTCCATGTATTAAAGAGCTAAATTGTATCAAGAATCAAATTAAGTTCAAGTCTTTGGTCCTTCCCCTTCAAATAAAGTGGCAACAATTGTTTCCAGGAACTGTATCTATGACTGCATTGATTTTTAATGCCCAGATTCATAGCAAAAGAATATATTCAATTCTCAATCAAAGCAGGCTGGTATTAAGACCTCATATCATTTCAGTATTTCAAAGTGACAAGAATATGTTAAATTCTTAATCAAAGCAAGCTGATATTAACACCTCATATCATTTCAGTATTTCTGAGGAATATATGGACTTTTTCAGAAAAGTATTTGTGAAATAATATAAAGTGCTCAAGTTTTTTTTCTGATCAAAAAACAGAACTAGAAAACCCACCTTGTCAAATGATTCAAATTCTATATATGGACATTGTGAATGTTGAGAAAACAAGAAAGGATGAAATTCCTCATACCTGTAAAACATATTTATTATATCACATTCAAGAACATTAATAAAGATCCAAAGCAAATTGATCCATGCCTACGTGCTTACGTGAGTATATCTTCAACTGGTTTATCTACTTCCAGGCTTGGTTTTATTTCTCTTTTCTGAATGATATATCCCTACAAAAATCCAATAATAAAATTATTTCTATTCATCATTAGTACAGATTTTCTTTCCACGACTAACATTTTTATTAATTTTTGTAAGTAAATATGTACTATGATTAGAGAAGAAAAATACTTATAAGGTATGAGGTAATTTTAAAACTGTTTAAATATTACAGATATGTAAATCACCAAATTACGGGAGTTGGAGATGTGGCTTAAGAGTAGAGTGCTTGCCTCGCATGAGGGAGGCCCTGGATTCAATTCTCAGCACCACAAAACAAAAACAATAATTTACAAATTCAACTTTTCTGGAGTACTTGACATAGTACTTTCTATAAAAGGAGAACAAATATTATAAATCCATACCAATTATAAAAACTACCCTGGGACTGGAAGTATAGCTCAGTTGTATAGCATGTACTTAGCATGGTTTGAGGTTCTGGGTTGTTCAATCCTCAGCACCCAAAATAAACCACAACCAAGAGAAGAAAAATCTTATCCTGGAATAAGTATATCACAAATATCATTTTTAAAACATTAGAACAATAAAATATACGTATATTAATCCTTAAATGAACACTTGATTTCTAGAAAATCAAAATAAATGAAACATGGTGTACATGGTGTTACCTTTCCACTGAAGTTGGATGTTGTTTTCATATATTCTTCTGCCTTCTGCAGACAAATGAGTACTTTTTCAATATCTAATGGAATAAAAAAAGAAAAAGGAGTGCCAATCAAGTGTTAATTAACCAATTAACCATTAACAACTATGTAGAAAAGTATTTAAGAAATAATGTAAAGTGTTCAAGAAAATTAGGTATAGTTGTTTAATCAGTTTATATAAATAAGGTTATATCTTGGTCAGCCTATTACTGAATAAGTCATCTTTCCCTCCATGATCTGAAAGGCACTTTATTCAAACTAATTTCCTATATATATTTGAGCGTGTTTCTAGATTCTTTATTCTGACTCTGACTAATAGTAACAAATCACTATTTTAGAGCTTTCTTACATGTTTTCACATGCTTTTGTTCCAGATGAGTATCAGATTCATTTTATTAAAACAAAACAAAAATACCTCTTTATTAGCATTTATATAATGAATAAAAATACCTTTATTATCATTTTGGAGGGGAGAATATACTGATTTAGTRTATTTCAGAAACTTAAACACTCAATTTACATTTTTAAACACAAATTATTCCTAAACCTTAAGAAATGATATACCTATAATATAAACAAGAATAATTTTTCAAATATTGCACAAGAAAAAAAATTACACAAGATAAAGTATAAGTTGAATTTTGTTAAATACCAAATCTTATCTTTTCCTAATGTTTCCGCTATTTTACTTCCTAAACTGGCAGTTAAATTAGGTTCCCTAGGTAGTTACAAAAGCCTACTTCAATCATATGGCCACATAATAGAATTACAGAAATCCAAATATATGAATAATGCTGTTTCTAGAAGCATTGCATGTTCTAGGTTTTAAGGCTACTAAATTCATCTCTTTGAGACTCTAATTGTCCCAAGCTGAGCCAGTCCAAAATCTTAGGGGATAGAAAGAAAATATTCTAAAGTGAAAAGTTTTCAAGATTGAACTGGCTAGTAGGCAAGTGCACACTTATAATCCAAGCTACTCAGGAAACTGAGACAAGAGGACATCATGTTTAAGGCCAGCCCAGGCAACTTAGCAGAAACATCTCAAAATAAAAAATAAAGGGCTGGGGAAGTAGCTYATTGGTAAAGTACCTCTGGCCTCAATCCCCAGTACCAGAGAAAAGACAAAAAAGTGTGAGATTGAACTACAAATTACCAAGGATAAAGCTACATAGTGGAGAAGGACAGGAATACCCACATGCATATGACACTCATAAGTCAAAGTTTTTTAAGTCCAGAATTACCTATTCATTTATTACTTTATCAGAAATAACCTTCAGGGTTTTTTTTGTTTGTTTTTGTTTGTTTGTTTTTTGTTTTTGCAGTGATGAGGACTGACATGCTATGCAAGTGCTCTACCACTGAGCTATATTCTCAATTCCAATTTTCAGTTTTTAAAAAAGGATATAAATGGGGGATGAGGGTGTGGCTAAGTGGTAAGGTGCTTGCCTAGCATGTGCAAGACCCTGGATTCAATTCCCAGTACTGGGGGGAGGAGGGGACAGATGAAAATGGACAAAACTTCAAAACTTGTACCATGCACATACCTTTACTTTCAAGTTTTTCATCCACTTTGACGTTGCCAGAGAATCCATTTTCTATAAGACAGTGCTCAATGAGAGCTGGCCCATAGGCTATAAAAGCARAGAGAACTATTTTTACTATTTTCCTATAAAATTAAATAAAAAATGTAGTACAAATTTACATCCAAATAAGAATGATCTACTCAATAAAAGAAGCCAATGAAAATAATAGTAAATGTACTTATTTTGAAGTATGATCCAAAATAACAATGAAGTATCACAAAAAATTAAAATTATAAAGAACTTAAGAGAAATCAGGWTAAGTTATAGGACTGTAATAGTATTTAGCCACATATGAAAAGATTACAAACTATGACCAGGGGGATTATCACTGGAATGCAAGGTTGGTTTAGCATCTAAAAACTGGTTTAATGCCCACATTAAAAATCAGGCAACAGGGGCTGGGACTGTGGCTCAGTGCTAGAGCACTTGCCTATGATGCATGGGGCACTGGGTTCGATCCTCAGCACCACATAAATGTAAAATAGAGATATTGTGTCCACCTAAAACTAAAAAATAAATATTAAAAAAAAAAAAAATCAGGCAATAGCTGGGCATGGTGGCAGACAACTGTAATTCTAGTGACTCAGGAAGCCGGGGCAGGAAGGTTGCAAGTTCAAGGCCAGCCTCAGCAACTTAGTGAGACCCTCAGCAATTAAGCAATACCCTGTCTCAAAAAAAAGAAAGGTCTGGGAATGTATCTCAGTGGCAAAGCACCCCTGGGTTCAATTCCCAGTATTGGAAAGAAAAAAAAAAAAATCTTTAAAAATAAAACAGATCATTATTAAAAGATAATTTTTAAAAATATCATTTTAAACTCCTTGTTCATATTTTAAACCAGAACCATAAAAAATTTAGATATAGTCCTGAAAATCACATTATCTTACAAATWTTTCATTGCTATTATAGGATTACTCACGAAGTAATGGGTTAAGAATTCTCTTCAGTAGTTCTCCTTTAGGTGCACTGGCTATTACTTCAGTCAATCTGTGAAACAAAATTGACACAACTCTTACTGTCTTATATTAAAAAAAATTATAGCCTTGTTCACATTCACACTGCTTTCACCTGCATCAATTGACCTAATCTTTATAATACTCTGCAATTAATAGAAATTAGTTCTCTTGTAAGTGAGGAAATGAGTTCATAAAAGTAGTTTATCCCAATCAGCAGCCTGGGAGTTGAATCGAGGTTTTCTAAGAGAAATCAACTAAGACACACTCCTTATCATCAATTTGCCCACATATGTGTCATGAAAGAGACATTTTTATATGTCAAATGTCCTTTGTAAATCATCATGCTGTATCTTAATATCTAAAATGGCTTTACCTAATTAATTTGATAAAAACTCTTAAGGATCCTGTGGATCAGTGTGATCACCAGATTAGCATTATCTGAGAACTTGTTAGAAATGCAGATTCCTGAGCCTTACATGAGGAATAGCAAAATGGAGCAATCTATGTGATAACAAGCCTTTCAGGAGATTCTGATGCTTGCTACACTTTGAGGACCACTACCATAGACTATTTGTCAGCAAAAGCCTTCGAGCCAGAAAAGTACAACTATAATCACCTTATACTACCTTAGTTCCCTTTTTCCTAAGTAAAACAAAAATTCTCTCTCTTTGCACTCTGCCCAGGATGTCCATCTGCCTTCTCACAGAACAAGAGTTGTCCCCACTCTTTACCAAGAAATCATAAATATCTGAAGTAACCCAAAACTTAGTTTAAAAAGACATGTATTTGTAGTTCAATAGTCCAAATTTAGTTGTTATTCAAGTAAACAAAGTATTTTTTATCTGACAGTTTTTCATATTCTGAAATATAACTATTTTTATCTTTTAATACAATATGAAATGAGTTTAAGACAAAAGATGTTACCTTTCCAAAGTAAGCAAAGGTTCAGCAGCTCTAGCATGATCAACTGGATAGCGTTCACGAACAGCAAATTTAACATCATCTGCCTCATCAGTTCGAAACCTTAGAATATTTAAAATTAGGTACTCATAATCTGTAAGAACAATGTTCCCCTGCAATAGAGTAAAATATAATTTAATGCTTTTTCAAAATAATCATGAAACTTCTTAAAAAGGATGTAGTCTCTTAACAACCTTATTGAGGTTACAAAAATGAAGTTATAAAACAAAATACASCAAAGTCACATCTAAACAATCCTCCTTGAACCTGCCCAGCAGACTGAAACAAAATAAACAAATTCTAAAGACCCAAGTTTGAAACAGTGAAGGTRTCTAGAGCAACATCAAATTCACTGTCTGACGCTACTACAGAAGTACTAGCAGAAGCACAATCATTTATTAACACCTTGACAACTACTAGGGGACCTCATGTTTATATTTGCATGAGCCAGGATATAAGTACTGACTTATTAAGAAAAATAAAATATATATTTTAGAAGCCAAGCAAAGAGCTATTATACTTTCACCTACAATTCGTCTTTTAATAACAATAGTTATGTGGTCTAATGTAGCCTAATGAATTAACTCAATAAACCCAAAGCTACATGCTTAAAGATGTTCACTGAAATTTATTTATGATAGAGGGAGAAAAAAAAGAAGAAATAGTCTATGTGTAAAAATCTGGGAAATTATTGTGTTGTTTTGTTTTGTTGGTGCTGAGGTTTAAACTCRGGGCCTTGTGCATGCAAGGCAAGCACTGTACCAACTGAGCTATATCCCCAGCCTCAGAAATTGCTAATTATGATAGATCAATTTAACAATAGTAAAATGTTATTACCTTATGAAGACTATGTTTAAAAAAAA